GGAAAAATGAGAACAAAGACCTGTCACGTAAAGGTACAAGATCCCAGTAATGAATGGAACTGTACTGTCTACCTAGAATGTACCAATACATTTAAAAAAATTTGTAGGTTTGGATCAACTGGAGAGATTTAAAGACAAAGGCCTATGCTTCAGCCCAGTTCTAGGTCAGCTATGTCAGAATCTCTGGAGTCAAGGCTTGGTTACCACATCGGCACATGGCAAACATTCCCAGGTGGTTCTGACGCACATCTGGGCTTGAACACCAAGGATCACAGCTGGGTATCTCCAGAAACGTACATTAAGTGTAAAAGGTGCCCATGGGAAGGAGAGCCCTGTGAGTGCGATTAGTACCTATGGATTAATGTCCTTCAGCACAGATGCTGGGGTGAACCCGGAGGTAGGGCTCTCAGAGGGGATGCGTAGGAAAAGCTGTCACACAGCATCGTGTTTCCATGGGGAAGGGGTCCTGGTACCCAGGGAGCATCTGGTTTTATGCGGGATAAAGGGGCATAAAAAGGGGGACCTTCGTCCCCACAACAAAGAGCCCACCTTGTAGCTGGAGCCATTCTCTCTGAAGCCTTGGTCTTCCCTGTCCCTCCAGCCCCACTGCTTACCTGACATTGGCCAGGGGTCCAGCACTCTCGAAGTTGTCTCTGAGGTCAGGTCCATTGCCCGATGATTTGTGGGAGTCAGAGTAGGAGGAGACGCTGTTGAAGCGGACCTTGTAGCTCCTGCCAAAATGAACAGGGCCCATAAGGTCTGGTTTGGAGCCCCTGCCTGCCTGGCTGGGGCTGACGCCTCCTTTGGACCTTTAAATTGCTGGTTCTGATTCTAGAACCTTTTCTTGTGCATGCAGTCGAATCATACCGCTGCCACGGCCTCTTCAAGGATGTATCAATTTGGCCAGGCCCAGCACAATGGTAACTATTCCTCTGCACTTGCCTCTGCCTATACTTAAAAGGTTTCTGGTCACACCTGACTTAGAAAACTTCGGACCCATAGCATTAAAATGGCTACTTCATGCAGAAGTCAGGCATCAAATGGACAAGTCCCTCACCATGAGACTTGCTTCCCAAATTGCAATTCGTATGAGAATCATCCCAGACTCTTGTTAAAATGGAGACTCCGGTTCAGTACCCTTGAGGCTAGGCCTAAAAATCAGCATTTCTAACCAAGAGATGCCAATCTGCCAGTCTCCAGAACTTACTTTAAGTGGCTAGGAACTAGATGTGTACTTCCCAATACGGCAGCCACTGGCTACCTTTAGTTATTTAAATTTAAATGAATTAGAATGAACGGAGCAAGAAAAAGTCTGTTCTTCACTTGCACCAGCTGCCTTGGGGTGCTCATAGGTATCTCTGGCTGCTGTATGAAACAGTGCCATTGCTGTGCAAGGTTCCACTGGATGGTTCCGGTTTGTCCCAGTCAGCGCTGTCTTCCAATGGATTTAAGGTCCTGAGACATCTCAAGGTTGGCCATAGGTCACCGTTGAAGGAAACAAAAAGTGTTCCGCACCAGTATCAGCATAAAAAGATGTTGCATTTTATTAAATTGTTTTCAAGGGGAAGGAAGATATCTTGGGGCTCAAATGTAAGAGTCACAGAAACCTTGAGATTAAAAAAAAATGTTTCCCAGTTTTTTTCTAATAGTGGTATGTTTTATTTTCAGACAACACAAAGCCAAACCCAAACAAGCAAAGAAAAACAAAAAACAAAAAACAAAAAAACCCAAAACAATCCTACAATGAAACCCTCAATACCCACCAAATAAACAAACAAAACAACCTAAAACCCCAAACTCAAGACAAAAACTCAACACACAAATTGGAATGTTTTTTTTAAAAAGGAAAAAGAAAATAAATTATGCGTTCTGGCAACAGGGTGTCTTAGCTGGATGTTCTTCAACGTTTCTCTCCGGCATCAGGAAAGTTCTAAATATACATAAGTGTATTTTCTACCCCGAAATAGTCTCACATTGAGTCACTTCTCCAAATAAGTCATGCAACATATCAGGGGGTGGCTGTGCTGTTAGTGTGGGCGGCATGGTTGATGGTTGTGAGGTAAAAATACCAGCACGTGTATTTGGATGAAGCTGGAGGTTTCTCCAAATGCTTTCCTCGCTGTGATTACCCCTCAATCCCTGGCCCCCAGAGGTGGGCAGCGAAGAGACAGTTTCCCCGAATTTGGCAGACAAGAAAGACCGAGGGTCACAGCAGTCAAGCGACTTGCTCGAGGTCACTGAGAGGGTTAGTGGGTGAGGACTCCGGGCTCTGTGAGACCCAGGTGCGGCCTGGGGTGCTCAAGTACTGGGCATGCATACACGCAGGTGCACACGTGGCGTACACACACATGCCTGCATCCACATGCAGGCGCACACACACACTTGCACACGTGCACACACACACACACTACCTGTGCTGGCTGTCACGGGCTGCAGCCAGACCGTGGACTTCAGGGTCACCACGGGGGAGGGAAGGCCCTTTACGGGGAAAGAAACGCAAGGGTTCCGGGTACCTAGAGGGGAGAATGGTTGGTGCCCTCTCTCTCCCTGAAGGAGGGGTGAGGGGGACCTCCTGGGAGGCCACCCGGGATGGCTGGGAATGACAGGGGTGCAGAGAGTGAGGGCTGGGATGCTGGAATCAGGCGCATCCTCTGGAAACCAAGGTAGTGGGCTTGGCAAGGCGTGCTCAGCAGAGAGCACCCGGAGTGATTGACCACACAACACAGGCTTTAAACTCCAGCCAGCTACGGGTTAGATGCATTTTCAGTAGGTACTGGTGCTGGAACTCAGGGCGGCTCTCCCACTGAGTTACACCCCGAGCCCTTTTAAGTCAATTTTATTTTGATACAGCGGCTCGCTAAGTTGCCCAGGCTGGCCTCGAACTCGCGATCCTGCTGCCTCAGCCTCCGGAGTACTGGGGACTAAAGATATGCGCCACCATGCCTGGCTGGATGCTCCAAGGCAGAGGAAAGGCTAAAGTGGCCTCCGGGAAGGGTGGCTGTGTGCACACCCCTGTGTTCTACCACCTCACGGAGGATGCCAGGGCGGGTCAAGGGTCATCTTGGTTACAGGTATTTTCCCCTTGGGAACTGCCTTTCCCCAGCCCCGAGTTTGGTACGATTCCTCTCTCAACAACTGTGGGCTGAAGGTCTCTGTCTTTTGAGGATATCTTAGCTCAGCTTTGAGCTTAACCTCCACCAAGCCCCAAGTCCACTGTGAGTACCAGAAAGAAAAGTATCAAGGAGCAAGGCGGCTTTCACTGATGCGGTTTTCCAAAGCAAGCCCAGACACCTACACCGCGTGCACAACTTTCCCTGGGGCTCCCCCATCTACCGCCTGATTCGATTCTTACCCAGCAGAGAGTTAAGGGGACGGCATTAGAGTCTCTTCTTGACAGAGAAAGGAACCGTGGCACACAGCTGGGAAGGGACTTTAGTCAGACAAAATATCAGCCCCAGTGGACCCCGGATGCAATGGACGTTGGAGAACAGCTTTCAGGAGCCAGAACACAAATGCGAACCTCAGGTACCAAAAGACAATTATCAGTTATGTGGGGGGCACGTAACATTGAGGGGTCATTCACTTACTTCCTTTCCTCTTGCACGGAGTTGGGGTGCCTCATTTCCATCAACGCACAGCCGAATTTCTGGAGGTCAAAACAGATAAGCGTGAGAAGGAAGCATGTGTTTTAGTAAACCTAGAATGGAGTAGGGCTTAAGCTCTGGGGCCCCAGCTGGTAAAAGAGGAGCCTGGTGACCGGGAGTCAGATGTCACGGATGGTCAAAGACCCAGGTGGGTAGTGAGGTTTAAGCTGCAGATGCAGCTCAAGACCAGCTGTTTAAGAACTTCAGGCGTGGCCCCCCTACCCCTACACACAATTCTCCTAAGATCGTTGTCTGGAGCAGAGGACGCCAAGCTCAGGATTGGAGAATCCATCCTAAGCAAGTTGCTCAGCTAATCCCTGGCTCTGAGGCCGCGGGAGGCTCTGCTTCAGAACAGGGAGGTGTAGAGGGCGACCCTGGGTCGGGAGGCCCCCCTTTCGGCCGCCAGAACTAGAGCAGGAGAACGTTCACCTCACCTCCCCGTTCTCAGGGGGGTCCCCGTTGCCGAAGGTGCTGGTCACCACCAGGACCAGAGTTTCATGCTCCAGGTGCACAATGTCGTAGTCCTCCATAGACATCACCTGGGGGGCGGCAGAGGCGCGGGGTGGGGGAGGGGAGCACGGCGGTCGTGGGAAGAGGGAAAGGAAGAAGCAGAAGCAGTGGGGGAAAGAGAGGAGAGAGAAAGCAAAACGGGGGTTGGTTTTGAGACGTCACCTTTCAAAGCGGAGCTAGACATTCCGGACAGAACCAAGAGCCTCTGCGCAGGATGGGTTCTGATGCTCACCGTGGCCCGAGGGATTGTGGGAGTTTGGACCACTGTCCAATGGTGGGCTGCTAGAGAGAGATCTTCATGGAGTCCCTGGGGCTTCTTACAACCCACAGTACTGGGTTCTTCGGGATCCCTTCAGGTCTGCTCAGTCTCCTCTCTACCCCTGCCTCCACCACGGTGGAGCCCCTGGGCCAAATAAGTCCGAAACACAGCCTGGGGGAAAGATTATTGCCCTGTGTCTTAGCATCAAAGGCACAATCTTTCTCAAAGTAGGTTCTGAGGAGGTCCGGTCTCCTGCAGTGCCCCACGATGATGAGTAATCCATGCTCAGATATGTTTGGGAAACGCTCATGGTCTATCCTTTTCTCGGGGATATGGAGATTGTAATCCACGTTCAGAGATTAAAGGATCTGAGAAGTTCCGCAGCAACGGAAACCACAGAGAGCGGTATTTAGTGTAGAGAGGCCCAAACAGACCCTGGAATGGTTCTGGGGTCCTGTGTTGCTAACATTTTTCTCTAGAGATAGGCACTGTGATGATTTTTGGACTCATGGGGAGGGAATATCACGGTTACCTAAAATTTATCCAAATGTGTGCCCTCCATATGCTTTTATCTACTGATGAAAGCTCTTCTCTGCTAACGTCCCCTCTCCCCTTCCCAACTTCCTTTGCCACAGAGGCCTGGGCAGGTGGCACTGCCCCTACCCACCTTGGCATCAAAGGCGTGTTTGAAGATCTCACACAAGGTCTTGGCGTAGGCTTGAGATTTGCCTGTCTCTGTGGCATAGAGAATGGTGGCTTTGACCCTCTTGGCCATGGCCTGCCCCATCAGCTTGGCCGAGAATTTGACGGCTCTGGGAGGGAGGTGGAGAGAAACAAAAAAAGGGAAACAGGATGAGAAAGATCAGGGCAAGACTTCCAGGCCCGAACCGAGATCCAAGAACTTAGACAAGAAAGAACTTACTCCCTTGATCTCTGGAGGCTTGAGGGGTCCATCAGAGCCCTGTGCTGACTCCTTTAGGAAATCCCCTAGGGGCACTGAGTCACCAGTTCAGATTAATCACTGAGTTTTATTAGCGTTGTTATTTCATTGCCCGAGAATGTGGTGATCATTCATTCATGAAATATTTGTTGGGTGTCTACCCATTAGCTGTGGGCAGGCACACGGAGCAGCTGTGTATATGTGTGTGTGTGTGTGTGTGTGTGTGTAGAGGGGGAGACTGAGAGACAGAAACAAATCATCAAGACTTCACTAGGCATCTAGCGAGTGGGATTTTAGAGGTTTATAGATTCTCAAGGGAAAGGCCCCAGCTGGTTTATCCAGCAGCACACATCCAGGGTCTTGCACGGACCTGGCACTGAATAGACACTAAATTAATTTGCAGCAAAAGAAATTATGACTTTAAAAAGATGCTACTACCTAAGCCCTGAGCAGTTTCAGGGTCCACTGTAGCCTCTTTCCAGCTAAACAAGAGAAACCCAAGCCTCCCTCTCTTCTCTGGGCAGTGATCAGAGGCTCAGGAATACCGGGGCTCCGCTCTTGGGCTGTCCTTCCGGTTCTTACTAGGAATCTCTGTGTAGACAAATTGCTAATTATCTCCCACCTGGGGCTTATTGGAGGTAAATTTATCATTTTTGAGAATTAGGCAAACCACCCACGCAGCAGGGAGGTGCTCAGCTAAGGGGAAGCTAGAAAGAATAAAAAGTGCCTGGAGGCTCCTTGGAAGGATCTCAGCATAAATCGGCATCTATAATTAACTCCATTGTTTCTGCCCCCAACTTAATAGTGCAATTAATGTTTTAGATGAATCCTCCCTTCTTTTCCGGGAGACCGGGAACTGAGAGAAGCCAGGGGCTGTCTTTGCCGAGGACATCCGGGTTCCTGTTTAGTAAAGGGTGCTGCTGATGGGGTCGTGGGGAGAGAGAGAGAGAGAGCCCGGGGCTGGGGCCAGGACCTGCGAGGCCCACCAGGGTCTCATCTCCGGGGTTCGCAGCACAGGCGGTCGGTATGTGTGCCCTGAAGAGCGTACACCTCTGTGATGTCCATTCATGGCCCTCTTTGCTCGCCTCATCAGCTCAGCTGTCACCTCCTCAGGGGCCCCATTCCTGACTACCCAACTTCAGGACAGTGTATTTTAGGGCACCGTGAGCCCTCAGTGTGTCCACTGCAGCTGCAAAGTTCACGGTACTGACTGCAGTGATCCTTTGGCAGCCGATGGCTGTGAGCCTGTGAGAGTAGAGAGCCTGTCTGCGTCTGCTCGCCACAATATTCCCGGAGCCCAGCACCGTACCCAGCGTGCTGGATTGGGTGGCACAGGTCTAGCTGAAAGAGCAGTGCGCATAAAATGAGAGGGCAAGAAGAGAGTGTGGTGCTGGCCATGGTGGCACACGCCTGTAATCCCAGCACTCTGGGAGGCTGAGGCAGGAGGACTGCAAATTTGAGCCCAGCCTGGACAATGCAGGGACTTAGGGAAACCCTGTCTCAAAACTAAAAAGGGCTGAATGAATGAACGAGTAGGTAAATGAATGAGTGTGATTAGACTGGAGTGCTCCGTAGGCAGTGTGTGCAGGGGCTCTCAGGTTCAATCTCTGTTTAACTCTGGCCTCCTGACTTCCTCTTGAAATTGGCCATAGTGGGGATGTTTACACCATGGAAACTGGCAAACATTACAAATCAAGGTATCACTGTGACTGTTACCAGGCCAGCTGGTTCCCAACACACTGCTGCCTTTGGGACAAGTTTTCAGGAAAGTGGGGTCTGGAAGTAACCCCACGAAGAGCTGCAGCAACATTCCCATCCCAGCTTGCGGGTTTGTCACGTAGGTCAGAGGGCCTAGCATCTGCCTGCCCCCCTTCTCTGGGGCTGTCTGAATTTGGGGCACCCTCACCCTCTGCAGGACACTCACTCTGCCAACTTCTTGAAGCCGATGGCACGTCGCTTGGTGGGGGTCCCATTGGTGCCTTTCCAGACGTGGGTGTTCCAAGGGTCAGGCTGGAAAGAGAACAGGGTCCAGTCACTGCTGTGAGGGAATCTGGCTCCTCTGGGAGATGCCCAGGATGCCCTTGGCTGCCCAAGCCTCAGACATGGTAGCTGGGGGAACCATCCTGCAGCAGCCTGTCTGTCCTGCTCAGCCTTGGATTTCTCCCAAACAAGCACTCTCTCTTCTTCTGTGGTACGGGGGATTGAACTCAGGGCCTCTGCACTGAGCTCTATCCCCAGCCCTTTTTTATTTTGAGACAGCATCTCCCTAAGCCCCAGGCTGGGCTCAAACTTGAAATCCTCCTGCCTCAGCCTCCAGGAGTGCTGGGATTCCAGGCATGTGCCACCATGGCCAGCACCAAACTCTCCTCTTGCACCAAACTCGCCTCTTGCCCTCTCATTTTGTGTGCACTGACCTTTCAACTACACCTGTGCCACTCAACACGGAAGCCACTGGCCACACGAGACAACTGGGCACTCGTGTGTCCACAGTGCCAGCCAGATGCAGAGGGTCTGGTGGGAGAGAGCAGGGGCAGCCAGACCTGGTACTCGAAGCAGGGTGTGAGCCGATAGTTGAGCATCTCCTGGTGGAAGACGGGGGTGATACTGCCGGACATGGGGGGCACGATCCACACCCAGTCAGCCGGGCAGCCACCCCGACAGCGGTACTCATTCTCCATGTGCTTGATGAAGGACTCGGTGGCAGAGTGATGGTCAACGATGGTCACTTTGTCACTCTGTGAGAGGAGAGGGGACGATGAGCCAGGGGGTCAGAGGAGCGGGGGTTTCAGGGCTCTCCGAGTAGAGCAGCATCGCCCCAAGGAGGCCCTGGTAGATGATTCTGCATAGTGTTAAGCAAGACGGGGCTCGGCCCACATTTTGATCTCTGTCTTCCCCCTGGAACCCAGGAGAGACCTCCTCGGGGGGCCGTGTGTCTGACACCTTCCTCACCAGTCCTGCCTGTCTTCCTTCCTGCCCCATCCCTGCCTGCTTCCTTGATCACAGGGAGGAACCTCAGACGGTAATAACCTCGATTCAAACTACTTGGTTTTGTTTTCTTGGCACTTGTATATTTACTTAGTATTACAAGGACCTTTTACTTACCTCCACGGGTAGGGGGTTCTTCATTTATAGTGGCGACAAATCCTTTGGACATACAGTTTTAATTCACAAAGGTGAGTCGATTAAAACGTGAAACCAGTCAAAGGCTGCAGAAGTAGTGATGGAATGTCTGGGGTGTGGGGAGGTGGGCAGGGTTTGGATTTGTATGTTGTCTTCTACCCCCCACAAAGCCTTAAACTCTTCTTACACATTTCCCCCTCTTCCCCTCCACTCCCTTTTCTTTCCCCCTTCCTTTGTTTGGTACTGGGATGGAGGCGAGGGCCTTCATACTGAGTTACATCCCCAACCCTTTTTATTTGGAGACAGGGTCTTACGAAGTTGCCCAGGCTGGGCTCAAACTTGCGATCCTCCTGCCTCAGCCTCCCAGAGCGCTGAGGTTACATTCATTTAAAATCACGCATTTCACATACGTCCCTGCCATCTCTGGCTCACACATCTTCATTTCGGTCCGGTCCACAGAGACCCAAGGCATTTCAACAACATCTCAAAGATCAGTGGGAAGTGCCTTTTTTCCCCTTGCCCTGTCCGAACTGGTGTCACTGCTGCGACATCCAGGACCTGCTTCTCTTCCTACTCTATGGTTGAGATTCAGATGTCTTCCAAAACTCTCATGCGCCCCCCTCCTTTGGAAGGTGACTGGATTACAGGAGCTGACTTGCTATTAGGAGGTAGGGTCTGGGGGTGTGACCTGCAAGGGGCCCTGGCCCCTCCCTTCACTCTCTACTTCCTGTCTGCTCTTAGATTAGGCACAGAACAAGAGGGACAGACAGGGGCACCTTCTTTCCCTTTGTTTCTTTTCAAAATGGGAAAATGGTCATAGGCAGACACGTGCAGCAAGCAGGTGGGAGCCTTGGCAGCCTCCTTCCCTCACTGCACAGAATTCACACCTAGCTCCAAAGCGTGGCACCCGTCTCTTCTACACGCAAAGCTGGCCTGGCGGACCCCACTGGAGATAGTTAAAGTTACTTGGGACAGTCTGTCCCTTTAGAGAGGACAGTCCTGTGTGGCTACCAGCAACCATGAGAAGCCTGTGTAGCTGGTTTTCCAGTCAGATAAACTGTCAGCTTAGGGCCCATCTTAAAACTGCTTTTGCTTGCACAGGTGTAGATTTTTATTCCTTTTGATTCTTATTACAAGAGATCTGTTAACTGATCTACAAAGTTCTGACTAGTCTTTTTTATAGTCATAAACCTAAAGATTGTAAAAGTTATTATAATTCAAGTTGGCCAAATACATCTGAGTGCACTCTGGTTTACAAACAAGTTGTCTTATGTGTGTGTCCCATCTGTCCAATTTGTTACAACATGTACAGCTGTTTTGTTTGAGTTTTTTTTTTCTTCTGGCTTTTTGGATTTTTAAGGATGTTTGCCTGTAACTCAGGTTGGCTTATAGAGAAATGTCTCTCCTTCCTGTCTGCCTTGCCTTGAGCAGCTCTCCTCTGCCATGCTGTCCTGCCCTGGAGCCAGCCAACCACAGACTGACACATCTACAAACTGTGCTCCCACATAAACTTTTCCCCCTTTAAGATGTAGGAGTTGAGCGCAGTTTCAGCAACAATAAAAGTTACTAAGTAGGGACCTGTAGTTTCCCCTGCTGTCCGTCCTGGTTTGATTGAGACTTGCTTGTCCTACAGTCTGTGTGTATCTCGTGGACATCCATGGGGACCTCGCTGGTGTCTATGACAGTGATCTCTATTCTGTAGGTCCCCGCTTCGTGAAAAGCAGAGAATCCTGGTTTATCCCTGTTGTCCTAGCATAATTAATAGTGTCTTCCTTGTGGTGTCAAGAGTGTCATGGGTTTAAATGATGATTTCTGGCAGTCCTATTATAATGTCTCTTATCGGGGCCCTCTGCGGCTCTGGTAATGAGGATGAGCATGTATTCCTGTTATGTGACAGTTTGAGAGTCTGATCCTTGAGATGACAAGTCACAGAGGACACAAGTCATCCCAGTTCTAAAGAGTCAGAAGCAACAGGTCACAGCCCTCCTTCCGCCAACACCTTATTCATCTGTCACCAAATGGTTCCCACCCAGACCCAGGAGACAGGAGAGCGGTGGGCAGAGAGCAGGTCCTGCTGGGAGACAGACGCCCCCTGCAGGTGGTTCCTGGCAGTGCACTCTCCTGACCCTCCGCGGCAAAGCCCATAGATTTCTGCTTCCGCTGGACTTGGGTGGCCGAGGCCGCCCTGTGCTACCTGGAAGCTGAAGAGGACGGCGATGTTGATCTCCACCAGCGCCTGGTCCTTCCACAGTGAGGACGTCTTCCTCATGTCCAAGTTCATCTTCTTGGCTACTTCCTGCGAGGGGAAAGAAACAGACTCCCAGGCTGCGTGCCACGGAGGGGCAGGGTGGGGTCATTCTGGATTTCTCAACGGCTTCATTAACTCGGCCCCAGGCTGATCAAATCGCTGATTTGCACAAAAGAATTTAAAAAACTGAGACCCTACAAGCCGCAGGAAACCAGAAACTTGACTACTGACTCTTTAATTACTAAATGTACTTTTTAATGGAAGGGGGAGGCAGTTAAATTGTGAGAAATGCTAATGCGAAGGAAGGAAGGAAGAGGGAGCACGTGGAAATGGGAGGAAGAGGGGTGGGGAACTGGTTTGATTCAGCTAGGGCTGCCAGGGCACACTTTGTGTAGTGAGGGGACACAGGGCGAGGCCTAGGTGATGAGAAGAAGCTAGACATTCACAGATGTGAGACGGGGACACTGGAGGTAGAGAGAACGGCAAGTGCAAAGGCCCTGGGGTGGATCTGGCTTGAGCCATTTAAGAAAGAAGGCCAGTGTGTTTGGTGGGTGGTGAGCAAGGGGGAATTGATGAGACAGAGAGGGACTGGATGATGCAGGATCTGGAAGGTTATGTCAGGGAGTCAGGATTTTATTACACATCTGTTACATGGGGTCCTTGAAGTGTTTTAAGCAGATTTGGGTCTGGGGTGACATTATTTGCTTCCCAGTGGGAAAAGATGCCTCGGTTTATTCTACTCCCTCCTCTAGGGGTCATTATTTAGACTCTAGATCAGTGATGGCGAACCTTTTAGAACTTTCATTTGAAACACACAGCCCCCTGTGGCACACGTGCCATAGGTTCGCCACCGCTGCTCTAGGTCGTGGGCTTTGCTTTCACAGGGACACCTCCTGGACTCCGCCTGACAACCTGGGAAACTGAGGCCCAGAGAGGTGTCTGAATCTGTCCCAGATCCAGAGCGCCTGTGGGCCTTAGTAGTGAAGGCCAGGGGATGCCTACTACCCAAGACCAGAGAGCTGCCCCCTTCCCAGCTGACACCTCCGGCAAAACGATTCGAACAGAAACAGCCCGTGAGATGCAGGCTCTCGGGATGTCGGGAGTAGGAAGGACCCAGCATCGGCTTCCTCCAGCAATGCCGGTCACCGGGAGAGCCCAGGTCTCATTGCAAGGCTGGAAGGCAGCCCCTGCTTGGGGTTGGGAAAACTGCTTCCGGCCGGAGCCGTCACTGTTTGTGTACAATGGCAGCTGGGCTCGGAGGTCCGGGAGGGCCGGGAAAGTCTCCCTGAAGTTAGCCGGCGACTTCGCCAGGGAAATGTGTGCAGAGCTCAGAGAGAAGAGGGCTTCATTCACTCTGTGAGGCCAAGGCTTTGGGATGCATCTGAGGGAAGAAACTCTCTGTGGCAACTTCTCATCCGTTCGTACAAAACCTGAGTGAGTGTGTGAGAGGGAAGTGTGTGAGGCCAGCCTTTCTGTGACTGCTATTCTACAGCCTTAGTTTTATTACAAATAGAAAAACTGGGTGCAGAAAAAATACATGACTTCAAAATAATCCCCCAATGCAACTTAAGTCTCATCTAGGGAACCTGCTCGAAATAGCTTTCCTTTTCCTGCCAGAAGTTAGGATGGCTTGGCAGCTGCCCAGTAGAAAGCTACTATGGACCTTTGAAAACTGCTGGTGCACAGACCCCATCCCAGACCAATACCATCTGATCCCGGGGATCCTAAAGCTCCCGAGGTAACCCCAAGGTTTGGCAAGGCCAAGGGTGACACCGATGCATTTTAATAACCTACCCTTAATGCTTGGCCCTGAGTTCTAATCTTGCCTCTGTACCTTATTTAGCATGTACCGCAGGTCTAGCACTTAACCTCTCTGCCTCTCTGTGTCCCCTTCTGAAATCAAGCCGATAGTGACAGATCTTCCTATGGACATTTGCTGGCAAAAACACAGCAATCCTAAACAGGGCTCAGTGGTGTGCTCTTGCAATCCCAGCACCTGGGAGGCTGAGGCAGGAGGACTGCGCATTCAAGGTCAGCCTGAGCTATGAAGTGAGACTCTGTCTCAAAAACTCCCCAAACCCAAATCAAACCAAAACTACAGCCACTCTGATGCTTCCACTAATGCCAAGCTTTGGCGAGCTCTGTCCTGGGACTCTAGGAGATAAGAACGTGCAGCCGAAGAGAAAACTGGACTCTCCACAGACAAATGCCACGCGACCTTGAGCTCTGTCACTTGTTGCATTGGGGGATTATTTTTAAATCACATATTTTTTTTCTGCAAAGGGCCTCTTTCTTCACCTGTAAAGTGGGATTATTGTACCTCAAAGTTATGGCGCACCTTCAATGAGAATGCAACACAAGTGGGTTCGGAGTGACTGAGAAACAGTAACTTGGGTGAAACCTCACAGATGTTAACTGGAAGGAAAGAGACCGGTGGGGAAAACAAACAAAAGCACACTGCGTGACGTTACCGGCAGCCAGCTCCCCTCTCCTCAGGCTACACACCCACAGACTCACACTGCCTGGGATGCAAAATATTTGAAAACAGTAAAGCTGCATCTGTGCTGACAATTGTGCAGAAATCTCTTGCTGTCACCATTACCTAAACCACGCCGTGTAACAACTAAGTACAGAGCATTTACCTTGTATTTGACTTAAGGTATATGGGAGAAAAAAAACAATAAAGCGTCCTGGAGAATGTGCTTTGGTTATATGCAAATATGATTTTTTTTATATAAAGGACTTGGGCATCCGTGGATTTTATTTTATTTGCAGTACTGTGGATTGGACCCAGAGCCCTTCCTAAATTTTAAGGTTTGAGACAAGGTCTCGCTAAGTCGCTAAATTGCCCAGGCTGGGCTCAGGCTCGTGACCCTCCTGCCTCAGCCCTCCCGAGAGCCTTCTCCTATGGGTCTGTGGAGTGATCGGCCACAGACACGAGGGATGCAAAGTATGTAACTGGCACGCGGTATGTGCCGTGGCGGTGCTTGCCGTGGTCTCATCGCGTAAACTCTGCTCCAGCCCCTTCCGGGCTCCAAACTGGGAGAGCCTCACCTCCAGGATGTTGTAGCGCGAGCTGTCGCAGTAGTCTCGGACGCCGATCTCAGTGCCCATGTACCAGCCGCTGAAGGGACAGGCGCTGAACTCCAGGCCGCCGATCTCCAGGAGCATGTTGGACACGGCGGGGAGGCCGTACCACTTCAGGCCCAGGTCCTTGAACCACTCAAACCTGGGGAGAACCGTACAGCCCAGCTCCACACGGGCAGGTGGGACGGCCTTCCTCTGGGGTTGCTGATACGGGGCACTGATGGGGCCTATGTCTGGATTTGATATTGTGGAATGCTGGAGCCCAGGAATATGCGGTTTAAACACAGATTTCCTAGGAGATTCAGGTGGACATCCAGACCTTGGAGCCACTGCATCGGGCTGCTGGTGGTCTATCAAACCTACTCCAAGAGTGAGTCCACAGTGCTCCTCTCTACCCCAGGGCCTTTGCACAAGCAGTTCCTATTTCCTGGGGTCTTTTCTCTTCCCTGTTTTTCCATTGCTCACCTATACTTAACTCAGCTAAAACACTGCTCACTCTGGGAAAGCCTCCCTAACGTGCAATTGGGTCCCGGTGACTTCCTGCTCCTAAGCAGCAGGAAATTTCCTTTACAGCACTTTATTGGGATTAATTATTGAGTTGTCATATAGTAAGTATAAGAGCTTCTTTTGGAGCCTGGAAAACCACACAGCTGGGGACCAAGTCAGCCTCAAAAGTTAGCACAGTGCCTGCCCAGAGAGGAGACAATAAACTGTTGATTGAATGAATGGATGAAGGCCCAGCTTCGGCAAGCAGACTGGCTGTGTTCTTGGATACTGGGAGGCACTGGGAGCCTTGGGACACCCACCCACTTCCGGTCCAGGGTGGGAGGAGGGCAAGGCATGTAAGACTCTATTGAGTGTGCAGAAATAAATGTCATCGGAATACCTATGTCAAACAAAACGCCACAGCTCTAGACAGACAGGGCCCTGCCCTACACTGGGTGATTCACCTTGAGCCTGTCACGCTGCATTCTGTAGTTATTTAAAATGTCACTACATGGCTCACCACGGACTTTAAAAATTAACTTTTGGGCCGGGGATTTAGCTCAGTGGTGCCACCACCTGCCTTGCAAGCACAGGGACCCCAGTTTGATCCCTGGTACCCCCCCAAAAAATTAACTTTGATTTTTAAAAAATCCACTGCGTTCACACGTTATCGATCCTATTGAGTTTCAGCAACTCTGTCCGTCTGGTCCCTGAGTCAAGAACCTGGCTGCGAATTTCCCCTCCTCCAAGGGCCAACGGTGCCTGTGCTGCCGGCCCCGGCTTTCCCAGCTCCTTCCCGAGCCAGATCCCCTTGGAGCTGCGTCCCTGAGCCAGCAGGGGTTTCAGCTGGTTTCTCTATGGCTCGCCTGTGCCACAGCGAGGCAGTAGCAGACTCTGCCCTGCCCGGCTGAGGACTGGGCAGAGGCCGGTCATGGGCGACTGCTGTCCAGAGGCCAGGAGAGGAGTCTGATTCAGGCAGAGGGCGGGGCCGGGGTGCCAAGGAGGAGGAGGAGCCCACCCTGCCCCGGCCCGCAGTGGGGACAGGGACCGAGGCTCCCTTGCGGCCTGGGTAGAGGGCACCTGGGCGGGGCTCTCCCCCACGCCAGTCCCGCTTACTTGGGGTGCCTGATGGGCACTTCCAGCACCAGCTCGGGTGGGATCTGGAAGAGCTCGGGGTCGTTGCCATTGGCCTGGAGCAGGAGCGGCAGGACGTCGAAGCGGCCCCTCGGAGGTTTCCAGCCCTGCTGGATGCAGATCTGAAAAGACACCGCCAGGGGGCGTCAACGCCCCGGACCCCCGAACACCACAACGTGAAGGCGGCGTGGGGGGCCCTCTTAAGCCAGGAGGACCCGGCCTGGGTGGTTTTGACTAATCAATCCTCTGTTGGCGGGCGGGCAGGCGACGCAGGAGACAAAGATGTGTGACTTTGATGAAAGCCACTGTGGAAAAACGCCTGTGGCAGGGCGGCTGCCCCATAAAATAGAGTGAGAGCCACTAAGTAAAGATTCCTAACGGCTGCATTAAGAAAAAAACCCAAGGGATTAAGATAATTTTACTAATATATTCCTTTTTTGTTGTTTAAGACAAGGCCTTGCTATGTAGTCCAGGCTGGTCTTAAATTCATGACCTTCCTGCCTCAGCCTCCAGAGTGCTGGGGTTACAGGTGTGCACCACCATGCCTGGCTATTTATTTCGAATAATGAATTTTAAATTCAACAATATACGTTATGGGAACATTTATGTATTACTAATATGTTAAAGTGCTACTATCAATATATTCTAATCGTATATTAGGTGATTATTTAACTTTTATTTATGTAATATATATCAAATATGTGTAGTATATAACATTTTGGAAAACACTAAATATTACTAATGTGAATATATTCAAATAATATAGTTAATGCTTTAAATTCATTAATCCAGTAAGCTTATTAATTTATTGATATATTCATCTACTATACCCCCATTACTGTTTCAACATGTAATCAACACAAGAATGATCCACGAGCTATTTTCCACTGTTCTTCCGCCCTTAGTCTTGGCAATCTGGTGTGTATTTTCACTGAAATCTGAACGAGCTAAATTTTTGTTTTTGGTACTGGATTGAACTCGAGGCCTTCATCCTGAGCTACATCCCCAGCTCTTTTTGTTTGGTTTTCTTTTTATTTTGAGACAGGCTCTCGGGTTTGAGCCAGGCTACTTCGCCCAGCCCAGGCTGGGCTCAAACTTGCACCCCTCCTGCCTCAGCCTCCCAGAGTGCTGAACCCGCTACATTTGAATTTCACAAGAGTCACAGGCGGCCTGGGGTTGCCCTTTAGAAAGCAAAGGATTAGAGGGTTTCCGGGGTGTAATTATGTGGCCAGGGTTAGGATGATTCCGCACGCTGTGCTAGTGTGAGGCTAGTCTTTGCCTCAGGACCACAGGTCCTGGTCAGCGAAGGTTTTGGAGTCAGAGCGCGGGAGGCTGCGGTGTTTCTGTTCTGCTAACAGGGAGCAAGGTCAGCCAAGTGGGGCAGAGAGTTTGGCTGAGTCTTAAACAGCACAGGTGCGATTCCTGGTCGCCCTGGTGACAGCACCCTCTGGATAATCACATTTCCATAAGAAAAGCTGCTCGCTAAGAAGTCGGTAGGCAGCGAGGGGCAGAGGTCCCCAGACTTGGGAGCTGGGTGTGGGGGAGGCACAGAGTGAGTCAGAGGGGTTTTGTGGCAAGGACCAAGAGCAGTTTGGCTGGGTGGCAGACCCGTGCGTCCCCTCGGGCCGGTCCCGTGTCTCACCTGTGGCCCAGGTGGTGTGACCACCTGGAAGGAGAGGGTGGGGAGACGGTGTGGACTCTGCCAGTGGCTCCTAGGAATGGACACAGCTACCAGCAATGGTGGTGGTGGTGAGAAATGCAGGAATGAATGGAATGCTACGAGTTGGACATAGCACCTGGCTGAGGAAAGGTAGATGCCAGACCTGGTTTCATCTGTCACCTCCTGGTGGGAGGCAGGAGATGTGAACCGTGGTTTTAGCTTTTCCTTTACTCACTTCAGAAACAGCCTTGTATCACTCACTGGACATTGGTAAGACTCAGTGTGCCCAACTATGAAATGGGGCAACAAAAAGAAAAAGAAGGAAAGAAAAGAAGTGGGAGAGCAGTTTCCGATGGGAGGGTTGGGCGAGGTGACAGCAGGAAAATGACCAAATGCTTCCAAGACCGCGGGGGTTTGGGCAGCCCAGAGGAGGTGCAGGTCCGGAGGTGGTGGCTGCTCCCAGCCCGGCGCTCTCCCCAGGAGGGTAAGGTAAATGAGAATCAGTCTGTCCATAAAGAACGTGGGGACCCGAGAGCCTGGGTGGGGCGGGGTGGGGGGACACACGCAAGCTCGCACCTCTGTGAACTCCACGTTCGCGGGGTCCCCCAGGATGGAGCCGTCGGGCTGCTTGTAGCCGGCGTAGCGGATGAGCTGGGAGTTCCAGACTCGGAAGTCGTGCTTGCCGTCCGTCCTCTGGGGAAATATGGTGATGGCTGACCTGCAGGGGACACGCGGGACACCTGGTACCAAGCGAGGACGGGCACTCTGAGGGCACAGCAGAAAAGGCGCCGCCGGGCCAGCATCAGCTGCTCGGGGTCCCGGGAGGAGGGAGCACGTCTGTGCCCACGGTCCCCAGGGCCGGCGAGCAGCTGGCAGAGGGAGGGTCCTCAGCCGCTCCTCCGCTGGAACCCTGGTCTGTGCCAGGCTGGCAGTGGGTGGTGCCAGCCTGCCAGAGGGAGGAGGAGGCTCCCTGGGCCAGGGACTTTATGACAACATTGACACGAGCCAGCCTTCCAGGGCATTCTTCAGCAGCCAGTGGTCTCCAGGGAACCATCAGAGCCTGGCCTCCACCATTGCTTGTTGTTTTGAGACAGGGTCTCACGATGCCGTTCAGGTAACCTTGAACTCACTCTGTAGCTCAGGCTGACCTCGAACTCATGGCAACACTCCTGCTTCAGCTTCCAGAGTGCTGAGACTGGAGTTGTGCACCACCACGCCCAGTCATGGGTCCTCTTAACACATATTATGTGTGCCCAGCTCCAGTCTTTTTTTTGGTACCTGGGATCGAACTCAGGACCTTGTGCTTGTGAGGCAGGTGTGGTGTCACTGAGCCAAATCCCTGGCCCGCCAGCTCGTTGTTCTCCTACTACCAGCAATCAGTTGACACCGTGGATAGATCCTCTAGACGTAACCCGCCTCACCTGGGCTTAGTTAACCTCCAGCCACCTTTCCCCAGCCCCAGTCCAAAAATGTCCGCAAGCCCTTTCTTCAGGGAGGCAGAGACCTACTCTCCTGCCTCCACGTGTGGCTACCTCGCGAATAGACTTTTTTCTCTTTTTGCAAAACTTAGTTTGGCGATGAGCATACTCCACGGTGGGCAAAATGGGCCTGGCTCAAAAACCTTCTCACCCGATTCCCCTCCCTCTGTACCACATCAAAGTTTACAGACTTCTGACGAAAAAGAAATCAGCTTGCACTCACACTCACATTGTTTTAAGAGAAAATTGTAGGTTGGTGGCCGTTGGCTTCGCCTGGCTACACAAGGGACTGTGGAGCCTGGTTCTTCAATTAAATGGTCTGAAGCTACAGTTGCTGGGCTCTTTTCTCTCTTTCCTCACTAATAATTTTATTGCTGCGTGATAATATTTCATCATGGTGGGTTTTATTTTGGGAGGTTGGTACATGCATTTAACATGTCAGTACCCTACCACCCTCGCCTCAGCTCCTCTTGGTGGAACTGTTCCCCATTTCCAAAAGTCTGCCTCCCAGTTTCCTATCCTCTGTCTTTTATTTTAGTTCTTCATTAACTCGTGTATTTTAAGGCAACACACCACACGCATACCATGAAAGATAAAAATCACACGAACATCTCACTAGATGCTGAGAGGCCTTTGACAAAACCCAACGGCCCTTCGTGATAAAAACGCTACTGAAAATAGGTGTAGAAGAAGACCCTGACCTTAAAATGATAAAGGTCATGATTTTATAATATGATAAGCTCACAGTCAACACCCTACCGAACGGGGAGAACCTGAAAGAATTTTCTCTGAAATCTGGAACCAGACAAAGGTGTCCACTGTCACCTCTTCAGCGTCATTCTTGGAAGTGTAGTCTCATCAATCAGGCAAGGGAAAGCAAGAAAAAAAGGTACAAATGGGAAAAGAAGCCAAATCAACCCTATTTGCGGATGATGCGATTCTTAACATAAAAAGGCTCTGGTCCCGGTGATACTAGGGAGAAACAGCAAGTATCGGGAAAGTGTGAGTGACGGCACCAAGCTTTCCCTTTCTCCTTGGCCTCGTGTGAAGATTGAGAAAAAAGAAAAGAAAGCAGAATAACTTCTCACTAAGTGCTGCAAGGTCACCAGTCTCATGCTGGGGGCTCCTTGTTGTCCCATCAGGAACTGAACCCCAGGCTCTGGGAAGCTCCGTCCTGGTTGCTTGTCTCAGCCCATCTTACGTCCAAGCCGTGGACGCTCTGCCCATGGGATCCCTTGCTGTCCCTTGCCTGGAACCCCTATCTGCTGTCAAATACCACATTCCATTTAAGTTCCCTCCCTGCCTACAGCATCCGTGTCTCACTGAGTTCACAGAGCTGTCTTTCTGAGTGCTGTTTTTAGATCTTACCCTTTATCCAAGAGAAGGCAGTATTTAATCCTGCAGGGTTGGGGCGTCACATTTGGGGGGTGAGTTTAGAACATCACGGTGTCAAAGGTGAGCTTAAGATTTTCTGGGTGATTTGGTTGTGGTGGCGCACGCCTGTAATCCCAGCACCTGAGGGGGCTGAGGCAGGAGGGTCGCCAAGAGTTCAAGGCCAGCCTGGGCTACATAGTGGGTTCAAGGCCAGCCTGAGCTATATAGAGCAGGAACCTGTCTCAAAAAAACAAAACGAAATAAAATGAAATGAAATTTAAAATATTCTAGCACTCAGGGAGGCTGTGAGACAGGGAGGATTGCGAATTTGAGCCTAGCCGGGGCAATTTTGTATTTCAGCAGGAGCCAAATAAACAATAAATAAATGAAAATAAAAAAGAGCTGTGAATGTAGCTTAGGGTGAAAGCGCCGGGTTCAGTCCCCAGTGTTGCAAAAAAAAAAATCTCTTAGCAAAAGGCTCAGCACCACACTGAAGGTAAACCCAGAATGAGTCAAACGGTTTGCTTTCTGGCATTAAGACACATTGCTGTGTCTCTGGTGGAGCAAAGCTTGTTTGTGAAATACACACACAGCCCGGAAAGGCATGGGTAGGAATCCCAGACTCTCACACAGGCTGGGAGGGTTCCGCCAATGGGCGGGAACAGAGGCCAGTGGGACACTGAGCACACCTGCGCCTCGCACCTCCTGACTCCCAAGCGCAGTCTCACCAGCGGGCAGGTCGAGGGCCTCGTGCAGTGTGAATTACGGGCGCCTCTTCCCTACGGCCAGCCTTCCTCTCTCGGGTAGAAACTACTTCTACACCTGGTAAACGTGCTTTCCGGCTCTCATCGTCAGACATGAGGTTCAGACTTAAAAATGACCAGCTGAATCTGTCTGTTACAGATCTTACGGAAATTCTCTTCTGGACATTTGAAAGCCGGGGAGAGGCCTGGCAGGGTGATGCCTTCCTCTCTCTGTCACAGCTCCAGGAGGGCCCGTCGGCTCTGCCGTGGCTGAAATCCAAAGCATCTCCCAAACACGCACGCCGTGAGCGCTGGATCCCCGCACCGCCACGTTCAGAGCTGGGGCCCACAGAGGTGAGTGGGTACCGAGGCTGCTCACTCATCAATGGGCTAATACTCCTGCGAGTTCACGGCCCAGGAGGCTATTAGGAGGCGGACGCATCTACATGAAAGGGACCATGGGGCCGATACCTGGGGCACTGGGCTCTATCTGGTGCCTGTCCTTTCCTCTCTAGCTCTTCTTCTGCTCTCTGACTCCTGGCTGCCATGAGGTGAGCAGCCTTTCCTCCGTCACGCCCTTCTGCCATGCTATTTCCGTTGGAAATGAGCCGACCATGGCTGAAACCTCTGAAACCATGCGCCAAAATAAACTGCTCGTTTAAGTTATTTTTCTCAGGCATCTAGTTACAGTGATGGAAAAGATCTCCTTGAGGGTTCACTTGGACCAGACCCTCCATGAGTGGTCAGATATGGGGAAGGTTCTTTGATATTTCAGCTGAGTTTGCTTGGGAAAGAGACCTAAACACAGGTTCCTCACACAGGCCTTTTCCTCCTGGTGGGTCAGACAAGAAAACCCACGCTTAATGCAAACAAACTGCTTGTAGATGCGCTCGCGGTAGTGGTGTGGGGAGGTTGTGGGACGGTCCCTGAGTGGCCCTGTGGGGCTGGGCCTCTGTGGCTGAGAGCAGGTACTGGGGCAGCAATGAGCAGGCAAGGCTTACAAGTGTAGCCAGTGGTCCGAGGCATCCCAGCTGTTCCTGTAAGGCCAGGCAGTGCAGTAGCCACAGCCCATACCACGCCTCTCTGTACTATATCCTCAGCTCTTTGTAATTTTTAATTTTGTGACAGGGCCTCATCCAGTCACTGAGTTGCCCAGGCTGCGCTCAAATTAGTGACCTTCCTGCCTCAGCCTCCCAGAGCATTTTTTGTCTTTCTGTTGTTACAAGGAGTCCAAGGTCTGGCTTGGCTTGCTGGGACCTGAAGGAGCTGTCCCCACACCAGCAGGAGGAGAAACTGTCTCTGAAACCAAGAGAGATTCAAAGGCAGCTCCAGGCCCCAGAACCGGATGCGGTTAAAAGCAGGTCATCCCCTGTGCTGGGATTTCCCTATTCCGGGGAATCTACAGGGTTTCCTCTGGCTGTCTCCCCGGAGGCTATAAAACTGGGAAGAAGTGAATGTGATCTTTGTGTCTGCTTCTTCCAGAAGAGAAGGGACACAGAGGGTGGGACAAGGAGTGCTGGGCCACCCCTACCAGTGTGGCCTGTCACCCCGCGAGAAAACGCTTCCCTGCAGTGACCCTGTCCCACCCCGGCGGGTCAGCGCACCTGAGGTTGCCCTTGTTGGTGGCGTACTTGACGTGGTTGCAGATGTAGTTGAACATCCCATGTGCCGTGGTGCAGTCGCGGGCATCGAACACCTGGAAGGAGTGGGGGTGGGGTGGTCAGAGGCCTCGTCCTGCCTCCCACAACCCCAGGGCAGTCTGCCCGTCTGAGGAGAATCCAGAGCCCATCCCAGCTGTGGCCCACTGGAGTCCTGAGCATTTCATGACTGATGTCCAGGCTGTGTTTTATTATTTTCTTTAACCTGTGCTAATAACCAACATCAATCAGACCAGGAAAAGTCTCCTAAGAGTAGGCATGGGATGTGAGTGCATGGGAAAAAGGGAAAGAGTAGGCGTTTGAATGGGCTGGTTACATTTTCTGTTAGGTTACTGCAGATAGGGATTAAAAAACAAAGAAACAAATCAGTACCTCCCGCCCTGATAACTAATGTACTTACGATATGAAATTGTTCCCTAAAATAATAAAATCATACCAGGGGAAACAAACTAATCTCTTCACCGAGTAGGCAGGGACTAGAAATAAGCCAAGTAGAGCCAAGGGAATGGTGGGGTCTGTGGCAAACTGGAGAAAATAAATTCTACGAAGATATATGCAAATTCATATAACAAAAAAGCAGCTCAGCCGGGTGTGGTGACGCGTGCCTTTAATCCCAGCACTCGGGAGGCTGAGACGGGAGGATCGCTGTGAGTTCGAGACCAGCCTGGGCTACACAGTGAGTTCCAGGTCAGTCTCAACTACACAGTGAGACCCTGTCTCAAAAAACCAAACCAAACCAAAACAAACCCCGCCCCCTAAAAAAGCAGTGCTGGCTAAATCAGACACGGCCACAGTTGGAATCTGGCTACGTTTAGCAACCTGGGATCCGGTAGGTCTCGATGGCCAATCGGTGAAAGGATTTGACCTTTTTCAAAGCTCCGTCACTCCCCTTCCCCTTCTCCCCCCACCAAAAGGTTTCCCAGGCCTCTGAGCCTCACCACCCACCTGCAGCTTGGACCACTGGATCCTGCCAACACAGCGGGCGGCATTCCGCCAGGCATGTTTGGCCCCGTAGATGAGCTCCGTGTCCTTGAGCTGGTAGGTGCTGGTGCTTTCAATCTCCTTGTTCACCTCTTCCAGCCTGTCCATGTGGGCTTTGGAGCCGAATCTGAGTGAGGACAAAAGGGGCACGGGAGCATCACTGCTATAGTTTGGAAGGGTCTCCCAAGGGCCCATATGTGAAAGGTTCAGTGACCATCCTGTGGTGCTGTTGGGAGGTGGTGGAACCTTTAAGAGGTGGGGCCTAGGGGGAGGAAGCTAGGTTATTGGGGGCACGTCCTTGAACAGGATTGGGTGACTCAGTCCCTTCCTGTCTCTGTCTTTACTTCCTGGCTGCCATGAGGTCAGCAGCTTCCTGTGTTACATCCAACCACCATGACGTATTGTGCTGCCACAGGCCCAAATGCAACACAGGGCCGGGCAACTAGGGACTTCAAACTCCAAAACTATAAGCCAAAATGAAACTCAGCCTCTTTGTAAGTTGACTCTTTCAGGTATTTGGTACAATGACAGAAAGCTGACAACTACTATTACCCTCTTTTCTGAAGTAGAAGTTGGTGGAAAGGACAAGGTATCCCAGGAAGCCACAGCCACGGAAACCCTCAAGTTGATGTCAGCACACAATAGTTTGAGCATAAGGCAGGCACCGTACACTGAAATGCAGATGAAGGCCTGGCAGTGCACACAGGATAAACCCGCTGGGTGGGGCCCGTGACAAACAGACAAATCGGGTCCCCAGGGGCCAGTCAGGACTCCACTCTAGCCGACCATCCTCCTGACAGGAATGGAGACCCTGGGCTGCCCGATCACATTCAAGAAAAACTGGCAGTCTGATTTTTAAAGGGAACTCCTCTAAGTTTTAAATATCGGCAATGTGTTTAATTTTACCTTCACAAAAAAGTACGCAGGACACATTCTCCTGAGGCTAAGACATGATACTACAGCTTTGTAGGAATGACTTCCCTAGCACAGCCTCCTCTTCCCTAGAAGTTACTGTTGCCCTTTTCCTTTGTGGTAATGGGGATGAACCCCAGGGCCTTTCACGTGCTAGGCAAGGGCTCTACCACTGAGCTCCGCTCACAGCCTTCTGTATTTATATTTTGGTGCGGGAGGTTGAACGCAGGCCCTTGTGAATACTAGACACATGCCGTGCAATTGAGCTACATCCCTAACCCCTCAGATTTTAGATTTTCAGATTAGGGACAAAGTCGATGCAAATATTCTAAAATTGGAAAAAAACAAAACAAAACAAAAAACAACTTTGAAGTCTGAGACCCTTCCGGTCCCAAGCATTTTGGAGAAAGGATACTCAACCCTGTAATCTATCACTGGAATACAGTGTTTTATTTACCCTTCCCCTGTTGATGGAGCCGAGGTGGTTTTCTGAAGGTTTTTTAAAATTTTAAAACAGTCCTGTTAAGTTGCCCGGGCTGGCCTTGAACTTGTGATCTTCCTGCCTCAGCCTCCTAAGTAACTGGGATTTCAGGCACACACCACCTATGAACTTTCTTTAATTGTGATTTTTTTCCTATGATAAATAATGTCTGTGAGAATATGACTTCTTATAAACAGGTAGAAGCAATCTAGGTGTGGAATTGCCAGAGATGTTTCCATTTGCGGTGGGAGGGGGTCTGAAGTGAACCCAGGGCTTTTGCATTGAGCTACAAACCCAGCTTTACTGTTTTTATTTTGTGACTGTGTTGTACTAGGTTGTTAAATTGCCTAAGCTGGACTCAAACTTGCAATCTTCCTGCCTCAGCCTCCAGAGTGCTGGGTTTACAGGCATACACCACTGCACCTGGCATGAAAAGTTTCAAATTTTCAGCAACCCCTTTGCAGGCCAAACAAAAACACTTCTGGGGGCCAGCTCTTTCCCTCTGGCTGCCAGTCCTGGCCTCTGTGTGTGGTGGGCAGAGGCCTGATGCTGAGGGCTTGGCTCACCTGTCTGTAAAGGTGAAGCTTATGACGTCCTTGTCCCTGGCACTCAATAATTTACCCTGTTTCCCAGAGCCGACACACACACTTGCCTTTTAATTGACGAGTAGTACTGATCCAGGAACTCTTTGGCAAGCGGGAAGAGCTGGTCCTTGGTGCGGATGTCTTCGGGCCTTCGTGTGTGCTGAGAGGGCAGCATGACCGAGCCGATGCAGATGTGCTCCGTGCAGCCCGTTTCCTGTGGAGTCAAGAGAGATGTGGGCCTTTGCATGGCCCGGTGTGGGGCCACTGCCCCGGCTCTTATACCCATGACAAAGTTGGCCTGGCTCTTAATTGCAAGGGATTTCTCAGGGGCCACCTTCAGATCATTGTTGGGCGTGGTCATCAGCCAAGGTAAAGAATAGAGAACCATGTGTCAAGGCCCCTAAAATGCTTGTTGTTGCCAGTTAGGGGAGGGGAGTGTACTGAGTAGGAATCAAAATCATTGGCATGAAATTCCAGAATGTGTCGATACCACAGTGATAAAAAAAAAAAAAAAACAACTGAGCAGCTACGTCACTCCTTTGAACAGAGCTATGATAGCTTGATTACCAAAAATGGCTCCAATTCTTCCTTCACCCTGTATTCTCTTTGGAACCCAACTTTACACAACTCCCATGGAGCGGTGGAGTCTTGTCTCCTTGGGTGACTGCAGGCTCACGAGCCAGCCTCACTATCACCTGTCTGGTCCAGATCAGCAGAACCACCCTTCTATTCAGAAACTCTTAAAAAAAAACACACACACACACACACACATAATTTTTTTCCAGCCGCTTAATTTTTGGGGGGCCAGTTTGTTACACAGCAATAGCTAACTAATACAACATTCCTCCAAGATGCCCATTTTCAACAAAATTTTTAAAGCAGTGTATTGACTATTAAAAATATGATATAGAAATTTAGAGGACACACTGCAAAACCAAGGAACGATTCATTGAATTCTCCATCAGTGACCAGAGACCAAGAGAGTATTTTCAGAGGTAGTAACTGGCCTTGAATTCTGAAGGGTACGGGGTCCTCTGATGAAAAGCATCTGCATAGGTGAGAACCACCAGTGGTTCTCTAATAGGGATGAACTTCCTGCCTAGGGGAGGTTAGGCAATGTCTAGAAACCTTTTTGTTGCTACACATGGGCTGGTGTAGCGACACCTAGGAGGACAGGCCAGAGGTGATGCTAAACACTGTGCAATGCACAGGGGAGTTCCCATGGCCAAGCTGAATCTGGCTCCAAATGTGGGCAGGGCTGAGACGGAGTCACTCTGGTCCGTACCCGGTAGCTTACTCACCAGTGTGCTTTTAAGGTGGAGGGTGTCCGTGAGAACCACGTCAGTCTCCCAGTTCTTGACCTTGAGGAAGCGGGGGCACTTGGAGGGGCTGCCATTCTTGGTGGGGGACTGTCTGCCTGAGGCAGGGGGCTGGAGGAGAGAATGCAGGTGGAGCATGAAGCAGGGTCTTGAAGCCTCAGGGCCTTTGCACAAACTGTTGTCTCCACCCTGAACTTTAGTCACCTGTTTGTCTTGACCTCTGGAAACAAACTGACCAGCCAGCAGCTGTGGTATGGGAAGGGTAAGTCTCAGGCTGACCAGTGTTAGTCCATCTATTTTATTATTATTATTATTATTATTATTATTATTATTTTTGGTACTGGGGATCGAACTTGGGCCCGTGAGCTTGAGAGGCAGGTGGCGGAACCACTGAGCCAGATCCTCGGCCTTGTCCATCTCTTTTAGATCTCACCGATAAGGATCACGTCTGCCTTGCTTGTCTGTGGGTGGTTGTTTTATTTCCCCAGGGGCAGAGGTGTGCCCATGTATCAGAAAAACACCCGAGCCCGCAGCTGTAAGAGATAAAGCAGGCACACCCAGCACGAAGGCCTAGCAAGGGAGGGGAGGTGACAGACCAACGTGTCGGGCGATGCCCATAGAATGGCCAGTGGGCACCATTAAGGAGCTGATTCCAAGATCAAGGCTGGAAAACCCTGGAGGACAGACACTGAACACCAACCTTCCACAAGCTCTCACCATGGCCAAGCAATAACCGTATTATTCCCATCTTACAGATGAGTAAACTGAGGAATGGTGGCTTTCTGTGAAGGAGAAGGAGAAGAAGAAGAGACCCCAGTAGCACGCCTGGGATGTCCCCTGCCACGTCAGTGCCGCACAGTGTCCTCACTAGATGCCAGCGCCTCCTGGAGCCAAATAAACCTCTGTTCTTCCCAGTGACTCTGTCGGTGGCATTCAGTTACCCACATTAATCCCCTGGAGGCGCAGAGGAGGATGGCAGGGCTGTGGTTGGCACTGGCATTGGGTGGGTAGAAGGGCGGGGAGGGCGGCCGGGCGTGAGGAGGTGTGGGGTGGGGCTGGTGGGTGGCAGCTGGCAGCCTTCCCTGGCAGGGAGCAGAGGGAGCGAGCCAACAGGCCTCAGAACGGAGGGCATCTGCTGGGGGCTCCAGATGTGCAGGGGTGGTGGGAAGAGCCAAGCGCCGCGCTGCCCTCCACCAGGGGCTTCATCGGGCTGCACACTTCACACCAGGCATTAGGAGGCCGAAGGTAAGGCTGCTGTGCTTGGGCTTTGATGTTTAATTAGCCAGCAATAGTGTTAGGTGACTCCGGGGCCAGGGATTTAGCTCAGTGATGCTGCCACCTGCCTTGTAAGCATCAGGAACCAAGTTCGATCCCCGGTACCCCCCCAAAATATTAGGTGACTCCAGAGGGGACAAATTTGGAGATTAAGATCACAGTCCGGGGCCCTGCATGCAGGATGCCAGTGAATTTTCTAGTGGGACCCCCAGTGTTCCTGCTCAGAATGCCGACTGGCAGCCCTTAGCAGTTCTGAGGCTGGGGACGGCACGAGTGGGCTTTGGGCTGTGGCTACCTGTGTCCTTTCCTTGCTTCCAGTCTGCAGCAGCACAGTGCAAGCTTTGAGGCAGCAGGAGACACGGCCTTGCTGTCCCCAGGGGCTTTAGCTTGGCAAAGCAGGCTGTGAGCTCTCGGGGGTTTTAGAGGCTCTGTCAACACCTCCTCGCTAAGGAGCCTGCTGAGGCCCGAGGAAGAGGTCTCGGGCCTCCAGGAGGAACGAGGCCTCGAGCACGCAGCACTCACAGCTGGCTGCCTGCTCTGCCGCAGGGGTCTGCAGACGGCAGCTCGGGGCCTCCCTGGGCCTGCTGCCTGCTTCTGTCCAGTCCCTGAGCCAAGAGTGGTTTTTCTGCTTTTAGACTGTTAACTATAAACATCCAAAGAAGAAGAATACTTCGTGACACGTGAAAGTTATACGCAGTTCAAATTTCAAGCTCCATAAATAAAGTTTTGCTGGGACCCAGCCTCACTCATTCGTTCCTGCACGGTGCGTGGCTTCTTTTGTACTCTGGTGACAGAGCCGGGTAGTTGTGATGGGGACCAAGACTGGACACCCGCAAAGCTGACAGTAGTTCTTGAATTGCCCTTTACAGAACAAGTTTGCAGACGCTGGAGGGAAAGGGCCTCATTCCAGTGGCCGACCACTGAGTGCCACGTGAGATTCTCCTGATTCTTCTTTAAAACACTACTGAGCCCTGCCAGGCATGGTGGCGCATATCTGTAATCCAAGCACTCAGGAAGGAGGCTGAGGCAGGAGGATTGCCCTAAGTTCAAAAGTCAGTCTGAACCGCATAGTGAGACCCTGTCTCAAAACCACAACACAAAGCCCTAAAACACCACCCCGACTTGTAACCCACGCTCTCTGCCACCCTCCCCGTGCTGCAGATGTCTTCGGGGCACTTGTCCCTGCTTGCCATAACCGTGAAAGTCTGTGTGTGTCACAGCTCGTGTGCAAATGTGTGCATGCAAGAGCCCGCGTGTGTATAGCAGCATGAGCGATGGCATGTATGCTTGTGTATGTGTGCACTGTGAGCGTGCCTGTGGATGCATGTGCGGGATCATGTTGTGAGAACATGAGTGTGCACGCCACACGTATGTGCATGTGCAAGAACACGTATACGGCATGTCTGTGTCCATATATCTTTCTATCTTACCACTTTAGATAGATAGATATTTAGGAAATGCAGGTATCCCTCGGTATCTGCAGGCGGCTGACTGCTTTAGAGCCCAAATCACGATGCTCAAGTCCCTGATATAAAATGGAGTAATATTTGCACCGAACCCTTGCACACCCTCCCGTATAGCTTAAATCACCTCTCGAGCACTTCTGCTGCCTGACGCAATGGAAATGCCAGGTCCACAGTTGCTGCACTGTATCATCCAGGGAATAATGACAAGAGAAAAAAGGTTGGAGTGCATTCAGTCCAGATGTGATGTTTGTACCGCACAAACCTCTCCGGGGTTGGTTGGATCTGTCTGTGTACGCCGAGGCTGGGGTGCAGAGGCTGTGTTTTCCGAGCACTCACTCTGTCCTCACCCCTGCGACAGTGGCACCTCAACACCTGTCCCACAAACATTCGAGGTCTGAAGCAGACTGACTCAAGTCTCGCCAAGTTCCCACGTCAAAGCCCTACGCCACGCCGCAGTGTGTCTGCGTAGGGCGACAGAGCTTTTAGGAGAGAACTAGTATCGCCTAAAATATGAGTAGTGTGGTGCCTTCATCTAGAAGTGTTGGTGGCCTCTTCCTCTCTCCCACATGAGGACAGAGGAGGAAAGGCATCTGTGAGCCTGGAAATAGGGTCCTCTTCGGAACTGGGCTACGCTGGCACCCCGATCTCAGACTTCCAGGCTCCAGAGCTGTGAGAACGTACATTTCTGCTGTCCCAGCCACCCAGGCCCTGTACAATACCAAGTCTAAGTGAGTTCTGGAATTGCAGTCACTCACGCTCAGCAGAGGACTCTGGTTCTGCATTAGTGGAGAACAGAGAAGCCCTGCAGCTGCCCAGCTGACCAAGTGACCTCACCCAAGCCACGCATTAGGAGCACAGAGGCTCCCTGACCTGCCACGGGGCCACATCCTGCCAGACCCACTGTACACGGAAAACTTCTTAAGCTGAAAATGCATTTAATCTGCTTAACAGCTTAACAACCCAGCACACTGTAGAGTGTTGGCTGTTCCCCTGCTGATTGGGAGGTTGACTGGGAGCTGTGGTTTGCCAGCCCTGGCCAGTGTTGAGAGGGGATCGTATTGCACATCATTGCCCAGGAAAAGATTCGGAATTCTAAGTGTGATATCTACATAGCGCTTTAGCACTGCTGCGCAGATGAAAACTCCCAAGTCACACCACTGCCTACCGGGCAGTCTGTCTATGACGGGAAGACAGGGTGCAGGCACAGACCCCTGGGAAGAGGAGGTTAGGACAACGCAGCGACCAACCGGCCACCAGTGTGAAAAACAGAGCCACGGGGCTGGGAGTGGGAGGCGGAGCCTGGGGTGCAGAGCTAGAGAGACTGGAGGGAGATTGGAGAGGTCGATGCGGACCTGGGGCTTCCGGACTGTGTGCAACAAGGTTGATGAGCTTTTGGGGGGACAGTGGGAAGCAGGAGGAGGGGGAGCTTGAGGCAGGGGGACAGACATAGCAGCGGAACCAGGAAGATGTAGCAGCAAAGGCCAAGCACTTGCCTTTCCCGACAACCGGCAGTCAGGACCTCAGAGGAACCAGCTCTGAGAGCCACGGCAAGGGAGGGGAGCACTTGCTAGACCAGAACTTCTCCGAGCTGTTCCAGGTTGGGTTGTGTACCCGCCTTCCATCCTAATTCATATATGGACAGCCTCAAGCTGAATACCTCTGAGGGTGTTCTTATTTGGAGATATGGTCTTTACAGAGGTAATCGTGTTAAATTAAGATGAAGACATTAGGGTAGTGTTTGATCCAAAATAGCTAGTATACTTAGAGAAGAGGGAAATTTGGGCAGCCCATGGTGGCACATGCCTATAATCCCAATACTCTGGGAGGCTGAGGCAGGAGGATTGCAAGTTCAAGCCCAGTCTAGACAACACAGTGCAAACCTATCAATCAATCAATGGGCTGGGGATATGGCTCAGCGCAAAAGCCCTGTGTTCCATCCCAAGTATCAAAACAATTTAATTAAAAAAGAGAAATTTGGAGACAGAACCAGCCACAGGGAGAATGGTGTGTGCTCGTGGAGATGACCATCTACCAGCTAAGAAGCGTGGCCGGCACACGCCCGCCTCGCAGCCCTGATAGCACCTCGACTTTGACCTCCTGGCCTCAGAGTCAGTAAACTCTGTCCTGTGAGCCTCAGGCTTCAACCTGTACAAAGCCAGTAGCCTCTGATTCCTGTCCTGTTGGCACAGGCCTCAGCCTTTCCGTTAGGAGCCTGGGGCAGCCTGCCCTGCTGGGCTTGCCCTGAAACGAGGGCAGCACGCTGGGGCCGAGCTGGGCAGCCGGCTGTCCACCCCAGGGGCCTGATGCCACACACTGAATTCTTCCTGCAGCCCGGGGGAGCACGACTCCAACCTGTGGGGACCACCTCCT